CAATTGCGGGGTCATGCAATGCTGCACCCAAACGAAATTTACTTCCTTGTTTTCACACAAATAGAGCTTTCTTTCGGTGGTATTTGATCACCTGTGCGCTTTTTATTTATCGCGCTATAAACAAAAAAGACTGAAAATTTTGAAGAAAAACGCTATTTTTTTACTTTCGGCTATAAAACAAATGTATAGTAAACTCAAAGTTAGTCATAAATTTAGGCCAAAATGTATTCTGCTACATGTTTTTGGTAAAAAAAAAAAATAATCCATAAGTGTATATTGATTGCTTTGTGTGAAAGTTATAGCGTCTACAAACTATGGTATAGATACTGTAATTTACGCCATTTGTTTTGCTATACAGCGCTGCACTAGTTTAACCAGTTGCCACCCGGCCTATAGCCAGATATAACAGCTATAACAGCTCATCCCTCCGGGTGGATGCCATATTGCATCCTTTCCGGAACGCTCTTTGTGCAGGCCAGCAGGGCCGCGCTGTGGCAAGATCTGTCACCAGCACCTCGGACACGGGCGATGACAGATCTGTGTACCGAAACCGTTGCCAGTACCATGTGACCTGCTGTGACCAATTGCAGCAGGTCACATGACAGTTACACAGTGAGGAACAGAAGTATTTGAACACCCTGCGATTTTGCAAGTTCTCCCACTTAGAAATCATGGAGGGGTCTGAAATTCACATTGTAGGTGCATTCCCACTCAGAGACAGAATTAAAAAAAAAATTCCGGAAATTACATTGTATGATTTGTCTTGCACTGCTGAATATACAGTAAGTATTTGAACACCTGAGAAAATCAGTGTTAATATTTGGTACAGAAGCCTTTGTTTGCAATTACAGAGGTCAAACGTTTCCTGTAGTCCTTGACCAGGTTTGCACACACTGCAACAGGGATTTTGGCCCACTCCTCCACACAGATCTCCTCTAGAACTGTCAGGTTTCGGGGTTGTCGCTGAGCAACACGGAGTTTCAGCTCCCTCCAAAGATGTTCTATTGGATTTAGGTCTGGAAACTGGCTAGGCCACTCCAGAACCTTGATATGCTTCTTACGGAGCCACTCCTTGGTTATCCTGGCTGTGCGCTTCGGGTCGTTGTCATGTTGGAAGACCCAGCCACGACCCATCTTCAATGCTCTGATGGAGGGAAGGAGCTTGCTGCTCAAAATCTCACAATAAATGGCCCCATTCATCCTCTCCTTAATACAGTGCAGTCGTCCTGTCACCTTCGCAGAAAAGCACCCCTAAAGCATGATGTTACCACCCCCATGCTTCACAGTAGGGATGGTGTTCTTGGGATGCAACTCATCCTTTTTCCTCCAAACACGACAAGTGAAGTTTAGATAAAAAGTTCTACTTTGGTCTCATCTGACCACATGACTTTCTCCCATGCCTCCTCTGGATCATCCAGATGGTAATTGGCAAACTTCAGATGGGCCTGGACATGTGATGACTTGAGCAGGGGAAGCTTCCGTGCAATGCATGATTTGAAACCATGACAGCGTAGTGTTCTACCGACCATGACCTTTGAAACTGTGGTTCCAGCTCTCTTCATGTCATTGACCAGTTCCTCCCTTGTAGTTCTGGGCCGATTCCTCATCTTTCTAATCTGTGATACCCCACGAGGTGAGATCTTGCATGCATATAATTAGTGATCTATATCTACGAGATCTTGCATGCAGCCCCAGTCCGAGGGAGACTGACAGTCATCTTTAGCCTCTTCCATTTTCTAACAATGCTCCAACAGTTGATCTATTTTCACCAAGCTGCTGGCAATTGCCCCGTAGCCCTTTCCAGCCTTGTGGAGGTCCACAATTTTGTTTCTGGTGTCTTTTGACAGCTCTTTAGTCTTGCCCATGGTAGTAGTTGGCATCTAACTGACTGTGGGGTGGACAGGTGTCTTTAACCATTTGCCACCCGCCCTATGGCCGAATGGCAGGCGGCAAATGTCATTAGCGTTCCGGGTGGATGCCATATGGCGTCCTCCCGCACATGCGCAGATTGCGCTCCTGCAGAGCGGCGCAGTGGCGCGATCTGTCACCGGCCGTGTACCTCGGACACGGCCGATGACAGATTTGAGTACCGGCCCCGGTACCATGTGACCTGCTGTGACCAATCACAGCAGGTCACATGACAGTTGTATACAATGGATGGCTTCATTCATGCCATCCATTGTATACTAGTGTCTAGCTGTGAATGGTCACAGCTAATCACATGCACATGTCATGTGATTAGCTGTGGCCAAATCACAGCTAAGCACAGAAAAAAAAAAAACCCTGAATGAATCGATGTCATTCAGGTAAATGCTTGCTTATAGTAAAGTAATTCTTTGCTATAAGCAAATTGTGTGTAAAAAAAAAAAAAAATACTGATCACTTCCCCAAAGTAGTACAATGTTACTATGGTAACATTATACTACTTTGGCCATAGTGCAATATGAAAAAAAAAAAAAAAAAATCTTTAAAAAAAAAATATAAAATTTAAATAATAAAAATAAAAATTGAAACAAATTTTTTTTTCGTACTGTCATCAGTGTCCCTGATCATTGCCATGCCAGTTACACGATGACGCTGTACTGCACTGGTGACAGTATGTAAAAAAAAAAAAAAAAAAAAAAAAAGTGAAAATGTGAAAATAATATTTTTAAATTTCTTAATTTTCCAAGAGGCGATTGTAGCCGTATTAGTGCATTTGCGACATAAACAATTGAGTATTGTCCGTGATACTGACGTATTTCATAACAACAGGCATGGCGAGTTTTATGAAGTTGTAATTTTTGTTATAATTTTTTCGGAAAATGAACAATTGAGTACTGTCCGTGATACTTTTTTTATTTGCACTAACATAGAATTTTGAGGACAAGCTTTCGGGGAATGTCTCCTTCTTCAAGGTCCAAGCAGTACGGTTACAAAGTTTTAGCAGAATGTTAGAAGATATGTGGGGATTGAGGAAAAAAAAAAAGAGGGCAGAAAGAAACACAAGCCTAAGGTCAGCCTAGAGATAAGACACAGCAAAGCAAAAGCAAAGACTGGGGGATAGAACAACACTCTCAGAGGCAGTCATAAAAATGTTGGATAATGATTGAGGAATCCCATGTCCAAATTAAGGCCGTTATCTCTTGTATCATTCTTAGTTCAAAAGTTTTTCTTTCCTGAATGGATTTGAAAATTTCCTTTCAGAGCTAAAACATTGAGGTCTCCCAAAGTGTGGTCTGGTTGTGCAAAATGGTGTCCCACAGGTGTGTAGAGGTCATCTTCTTTATGCTCCTTGATGGTATGTCTGTGCAAATTCATCCTTGCTTGCAACTTCTGACCTGTTTCGCCAACATAAGATCCTTTGCTACATTTTCTGCACTGGATAAGGTACACAACATTACTGGAGGTGCAGCTGTATGATACGAAGATATTGAAGATCCCTTTTGAGTGTGACACTTTTTGATGGATTGATTTGGTTGCACAGTTTGCAGCGTTTTTTATTGCAGGGTTTGATGCCATTATTTGTGACATCATAATCAGAACGAAGTTTCCTACAGATTAGTTTATTTCTGAGGTTGGGGGGTTGTCTGAAGGCCAGTATTCGGGGTTGCCGGAATATTTCTTTTATGATGGTTTGTAAATCTTTGATTATTTTTCTTATTCCTTCTAGTGCTGGGTTGTATGTGGTTACTAGAGGTACACGGTTGTTTGTTTTTTTTCTCTTTGTACTGAAGTAGATTTTCTCTTCGGGTTCTCAAGGCTGTGTTTATGCCGGTGTTGATAGGACAACTTCATAAAACTCGCCATGCCTGTTGTTATGAAATACGTCAGACTGTCTACTTTGCAAAGAGGGGTCATTTGGGGGGATATCTGTACTGTTCTGACATTCTTGGACCTCAAGAAATTAGATTGGCTGTCAGTAATTCAGGATTGATCAATTTTCAAATATATCCCATAGTTTGTGAACTCTATAACTTTCCTACAGACTAAATAATAAATACTGATTTGGGTTATTTTCACCAAAGAAAATGTAGCAGAATATATCTTGGCTTAAATTTATGAAGAACAATTATTTATTTGCAAACTTTTATAACAAAGAAAAATGTGGGGGGTTTTTTCAACATTTTCAGTCTTTTTTTGTTAATTTAGCAAAAAATAAAACCCCCAGTGGTGATTAAATATCACCAAAATAAAGCTCTAGTTGTGTGAAGAAAATGATAAAATTTTAATTTGGGTACAATGTTGTATGACCGCGCAATTGTCATTCAAAGTGTGAGAGCGCTGAGACCTGAAAATTGGCCTGGGCAGGAAGGGGGTAAAAGTGCCCGGTATGGAAGTGGTTAACTGATAATTGCACGGTCATGCAATGCTGTACCCCAACTAAATTTACGTCTTTTTCACACAAATAGAGCTTTCTTTTGGTGCTATTTGATCACTTGTGAGCTTTTTATTTTTGGCACTATAAAAAAAACTTTTGCAAAAAACGTTAAAAAAAAAAAAAAAAGATATTTTTTCATTTCTGTCATAAAATATGCCAAAATGTATTCTGCTACGTTTTTGGTTAAAAACAAATCCCAATAAGTGTATATTGATTACTTTGTGTGAAATTTACAGCATCTACAAACTATGGTATAGATAATGGAATTTACACAGCTTTTATTTTCTGACTGCCCATCACATTTCTTGAGATGCTAAAATACCAGGATAGTACAAACACCCCCAAATGACCCCTTTTCGGAAAGTAGAAACCCCAAGATATCCGCTGAGAGGCATATCGAGTCCATGGAATATTTATTTTGTTTCCACAAAGTTGTCATTTAACCTCCTCCCGCCCACCATATAGTAATATGATGGACACAAGGTGGTTCTCTAGTTCTGGGAGCACGTCATGTGACGTCCTCCCATTCTAACCGCGCATGCGCGGCTCCTGGAGCGCGGCGATCGGCGGTGCGCTGTGTCCCTCGGACACAGTGGATAACCGATCCATGGAAAGAGCCGAAGATGTCGGCTCGGTCATGTGATCAGCTGTGTCCAATCACAGCTGATCACATGTAAACAAGGAAATGCCAGTTATCGGCACTTCTCTCCCCACGAGCTGTCACGCTGACAGCTCGTGAGGAAAGGAGAGCTGGTAATCGGCTTTCCTCAGAGGGGACATCTACACAGATCATCAGAGCACTGATGATCAGTGTGCCCTGATGATCTGTAGAGCCCCAGCAGCGCCACCTGTCAGTGTCCATCAGTGCCAGCTCTCAGTGCCGATCAGTGCCACGTGCCAGTGCCACATCAGTGCCGCATTTCAGTGACCATCCGTACCACATCAATGCCACATATCAGTGCCCATCTGAGCTGCCTTTCAGTGTCACCCATCAGTGCCACCCATCAGTGATGCCTGTCAATGCCCATCACTGCCACCCATCACTGCCACCTACCAGTGCCTCATCAGTGCCCATCAGTGCAGCCTCATTAGCGCACATCAGTGAAGGCGAAAAATCACTTATTTACAACATTTTATAACAAAAACAAAAAAAAAAAAATTTTTTTTTTTAAATTTTGAGTGGCTTTTGGTTTGTTTAAGAAAAAATAAAAAAACCCAGGAGGTGATTAAACTACCTACCACCAAAATAAAGCTCTGTCACAAAAAAATGATAAAAATTTCATATGGGTACAGTGTTGCATGACCGCGCAATTGTCATTCAAAAGTGCAACAGCGCTGAAAGCTGGAAATTGGCCTGGGCAGGAAGGGGGTATAAGTGCCCTGTAGGCTAGTGGTTAAATTATATATTTCTCACACAAGCCATGGGTACATGCGGAATTACACCCCAAAATACATTCTGCTACTTCTACTGAGTGTGGGGATACCACATGTGTGAGACTTTTTGGGAGCCTAGCCATATACAGGAGCCATCCTCATTTCACTTCCTCACTACCTATCACAGTTTCGGAAGCCCTGAAATGTCAGGATAGCACCAACCCCCCAAATGAGCCCTTTTTTGGAAAGTAGGCACCTAAAGGAATTTAAAAAGAGGCATGATGAGTATTTTGCAGATCTCATGAAATATAAAAAAAGAAAAGAAAGCGTTTTTTTCTTTTTTCCCTTTCCAAAAACTTGTGGCAACAAACGAGGTCTGTAAAATACTCACCATGCTTCTTATCAAATTCTTCCAATTCCCAAAAAGGGTAATTTGGGGGGGGGGGGGGGGGGGGGTGCTATTCTGGCATTTCAGGGCCTCCGAAACTGTGATAGGTAGTGAGGAAGTGTGATGCGGAAATAAAGCCCTTTAAAGCCTGAAGGTGGTTATTGGATTTTGGGGTCCTGTACTTGGCTAGACTGCCAAAACGTCTCTCACATGTGGTACCCCCATACTTGGTAGAAGTAGTAAAATGTATTTTGGGGAGTAATTCCATATATACCCATGGCATGTTTGAGCAATAAATCATTTCAGGGACAATTTTGTGTAAAAAAAACCTGTAATTTTCCAAAAACTTGAAGTAAAAAAATAAATTCTTCTAGTGACTCAACATGCCTCTCAGCAAATAGGTTGGGGTGTCTACTTTTCAAAGAGATGTTTTTTTTTGGAAGGGAGGGGGGGTGGCGGCATTTTATTCCCAGCATTAGAAGTTTATGCCACACATCATTCACTCTTCTAACTACCTGAAGACCAAGCCTTTTGACACTTTTTTTTTTTTTTTTTTTTTTTCCATGTGAACAAAATCAGCATTTTTTGCTAGGAAATTACTTTGAACCCCCAAACATATTTTTTTAAAGCAGACACCCTAGTGAATAAAATGGTGGGTGCTGCAATTTTTTATGTCACATAGTACTTGCGCAGCAATTTTTCAAACACTTTTTTTTTTTTTTTAAATACACTTTTTTTACTTTTAATGCACAAAAACACAATATAAATCGGCCAATTATTTGGTAAAATATAAAAGATTATGGTATGCTGAGTAAATAGATACCAAACATGACATGTTTAAACCTGCGCATGCCCCGTGCAAATGGCATACATTTTTAATATCCATAGGCAACGCTTTAAAAGCCTTTACAAGGTACCATTTTAAATTTACAGAGGTCTATTGTTAGAATTACTGCCCTTGATCTGACGTTCACAGCGATACCTCACATGCATGGTGCAACCGCTGATAACATACTGGCACAGGGTCAACGCTCACGCACGCAGGAGAAGGGGGGGGGGCAGGGTGCTTTTTTTTTTTATTATTTTGATTTTTTAAATTATTTTTACACCGTCCCTTTCATTTTCTTTTTTTAATCACCTTTACCACTATCACAGAGAATGCAAATATCCCCTATAACTTCAATGGGCATTGTCATATATTCTTTTTTGAGAAATCTGGGGTCTATCATACTCTAAATATCTCCTCTGCCCTCACATTATCTAATCAAACCAAGATCGGTGTGATCAGATGCTTTCCCAATTTACAAATGGCGCTGTTTATATCCTGCGAAACTGAAGTGATGAAATGCTCATAGCTTCCAATTTCTTAGACTATAGAGATGATTGGCACCATTCTGGTCTCCAATCAGCTCTATGGTGAGCTGGCAGAAACACCGGCTGCATTCTCAGGTTCCCCGATGGCACGATGGGACTGCCCGAGAAGGCCGTTGAAGGCAGCGGGAGAGAGGGGGGCATCATCTCCCGCTGCTTTTAAAAGCAATATTGCAGCTAATTTAGCCACTAGGATTGCTTTTACATGAAATCCAATTGCTGGCTGAAAAAAAACAATACCAGGATGATGCCTGTAGCTGGTATAACTCCAGGGATGTACCAGTACGTCGCTGGTCCTTGTTGGGTATATATGCTATGTTTTTTTGTTTTTTTTTTTTTTTATTATGCAGCCTGTGAACTGAATGGAAGAAAAGAGAAGAAATCTCTGCCAGAAAAAAAGTGTGTGGTATGCCCACCATTAGAATATACCGCCCTGCATCCACCCACTTCTAATGGTGGGCACACATTAGGTCACACTTTGCCACATGCACCAATTCCAAGATTGTACAAATGTACAACATCTAAGTAGTACCCCATATGGAAAAAGGATGACACCAAGTCAAAAACTATCTTGCCACTACTCCCCATGTAGTCTGGGCATCCAGGGGGCTCCACATGACTATCTTTTCCCTCGTAAAACCAAAACTTATAAGTATAGCCTGTTGCCCTCTCACAGGTCTTCTACATCTTGACCCCATATCTGGCACGCTTGCTGGGGAGAAATTGATTGAATAGAATGCGGCCAGAAAAATTAATGAGGGACTCATCAACACAGATATTTTGCTGGGGAATATAGACATCTGCAAATGTTTGGTTACGGTGATTTATGAGGAGCTAAATTTTGTGGAGCCGGTCAAATTCAGGGTTACCCCGAGGATGACAGTGTATTATTGTTGAAATGCATAAAACACATTATACTCTCATATCTATGCCTGGCCATGGCAGTAGAGAACACGGGCATGAGATGAATCGGGTCTGTGAAGCAATACAATTAATTTTTTTTTAGTAATGCCCATGTTGAGGGACAGGCCCCCCCCAAAAAAAAATGTAAATTCGAAAACCGTATTGGGTTTCCATGCGAATGGTATGGCAAGGTTTGAATTTGGGTTGGTGGCAAGAAATTATTGTGCATATAAATTGCTTTGATCCACAATCAATGCATACAGGTCTTCCGTGAAAAACAGCTCCCAAAAAAATCAGTAGTAGTCATCAAAATTTACCGGCAAGTGCTAACAGAGATCAGGCCTGATTCTGCAAACACTGCGGTTTTCTGTGCAATGTATCAAATGACAGCAACCTACTAACACTGCAGTTGCTGGGGGAGAAGGGGGAAGGTAGGGGTAAGCATAGGAGCTAAACGCAGGTGCCGGGGCTGATCCCACTAACGCTGTGTTTTTGGGGATACTATACTAATGTGAACGCTGGTATAGTGCTGATCTGATCAAAGATATTGATTTGTTCAGACACTATACTAGCAATAGAGGTTTATTGTGTATGAGCGTGTTCCTGGCAATCAAGGCGTTAAATGTGATTACTGGTGTACTGCCGGGCAATCTGACGCTATCTGGGAGGGTTGTAAAAACCACGGGAGCGCGAATCATGTATATATGTGATTTTGAGCACCCATACTGCCTTGCAGCAGTATTTCTGCTATAGGGCGGTCAGGAAGCGGTTACATAAGCGGTTTGTGTTATGGCGCTGCGTTACTGTAACAATTGTGCAGTCATGCAACGTTGCACCAAAATTAAATTTACGTCCTTTTATCCCCACAAATTGAGCTCTCTTTCGGTGGTATTTGATTGCCCATGCGTGTTATTTTTTTGCTATGGACACACACTCAGACACACACTAATAATAGTGGCGATCAGCGACATATGGCGGGACTGCTGCAGACATTCTGACACTGGGGGGGAGCTGACTTGATGTTAGCATATGACACCCCTGAACAGAAGTGTGGCGGAACCGTTCCGCCTGGGTTTCCTTGTGTGGAGCGATGCGTCTCAGCCAATGGTCCCCTTTTCCGGCAAGTCTTCCAGTGCTCTGCCAAGTCGGGTATTAGAGCTCAAAGACAATCCTTCCCCGATATCCAAAACCACGAGTCGGAACTTTGTGTAGGGTGAATGAATGAGTCTTTATTGAACACAGCTCAGTATATATACACACAGCACATCCCGGCAGTAATCCCTGCCCCCTTCAGCCCACCCCCACCAGACAGCCTGGCACCAGGTTTTCCCCACCCACAACAAAACCCTACAATCCAACAATACAGTATGAAATCTAGAGAAGTGAAAGACTACAAGTTCACATTCCTCTAAACCAGTGGTCGGCAAGCAGCGGCTCGCGAGCCACATGCGGCTCTTTGCACGCTTTAATGCGGCTCTTGTGTGCCGGGCGCCCGCTCCCCTCCCTCCTCTCGAGCGGCAGGGACTCTGCAGCGTGATCCAAAAAAAAAAAAAAAAAAAAACAGCCAGGGCAGTGCGCTCAAATGCAATGATTGGCCAGTCTCGCTGCCACTCACATCCTGATAGCCAGTGATTGGCTGTCAGGATGTGTGTAGGCGGGGCAGCGTGACAAACGTGAGAGGAGCTAGGCTTCTCTCACAGTCCGCCCTGAAGACCGGAACGGCGCGGGAACACGGCGAGAGGAACGCGCGGAGCAAAGGTAAGTGAATTGACACAGGGGGGACTTGGCTTACTACTTGCTACTTACTTACTACTACTATATGAGGGATGAATTACTATGGGGGATGAATTACTATATGGGGGATGAATTACTATAAAAACTTATTGAAACTAAAAACAGTGTACCATCCTATGTATTTTCAGTTTTAAAAATGTGGCTCTCAAAATAAATTTCAATCGTGGTTTTGGCGAGATTTGGCTCAGTTGAAAAAAAAGGTTGCCCACCACTGCCCTAAACAAACAGTGTAGAATGCCTGTCTACATAACAGCTGCTAAACATATACAGCTTTACAAA